TGCTCTAAAGCTTTTACTGGGTAACCCCGGGAGCTGAGCCAGGGAAGGGCAACAATGTTGTAAAAGTTGTGAAACGACGGTGTGTGAGTCGGTGTCGTGGTTCAATCGAGCGACTGAAATGATATGAAGCAGTGGCTTAGGAAGAAGAAAAAGGTCATACGAGGACTGCTAGTTTCGATAGTATGTGGTGATTATCTGAAAAACCAGACAAATAACAGACATTAATGGAACTTTAAAAAAAAAAATATGTCGCAAGCATGCAAGTATATGTATAGACCCTTTCCTACTGGACAAAAATGTAAATAGTGTTTCCAAATATTAAAATGTATTAACGTACCAAACATGCAATTGAAACAATCTCCTCTAAGCCACCAGACTCCAGTCAGACAGTAATTTGACCTCACAGATCGTCAGAAAACACACTTTATTCAAACAAAATAAAACTCATCTTTCCACTTTTCCAACAATCACCAACTCTGGTCTGAGAGGCTGAAGGACAGAATAATTAACTAACGGATATGAAAAAAAGAATGAACTATGGCATTTTCACAGTTAAACTCACAATGATAAAAGGAGTCTGTCGCTTATTTTTAGCAGATTTCCTCGTGTTCTGCGGAAAAGGGTATATGTGTGTAGGTATACTTGCTCTTTTTACTATGTGAAGTTGCTGTGAAGCCAGAGGTCATATTCTCTGCCCTCATTTTGGCACACAAGAACATTTTCCTCTGATTTGTGAAGCTTCCCACCTTGTTGTGGATTCATAGTCCGAGAGGGTACATACAAATCAGACGGCCCAGGCCTGCATATTGCCTTCTGCAACATCCTCAAAAATCCATTTCTGCTATTGGCAGGACATCGATTCCCTACGAATGGATGGTGAGTCCAGGCGGGGACAGGAGAGAATGCGGTGAGAAGGTTGCCGCAGGAGACACACACACACACTCACACAACATAACTGGTTGATAAGTGTCTGTGAGCCATGCGCTCCCTGTCCATTGCAGCACCATTAATCCAATACAATATGTCTGCTTAATGCTGTGTGCCATGAGGAGATGCAACACTTATCATCTTTAATGTCTCTGATAGGACATGACTGGGGAGGATTCGCTCCCTAAAAAAGAAGAGAGGGTGTAATCAGACTTGCCTTTAAGAGCGTAATTTAAAGGGTCGTTTCACCCACATTAAGAACAAAAGACACATTTTGTCTCGTACCTCTTGGGCCATATAGCCGTACAGACACTGTTGATGTTGCTCTATGTAGCTGTAATGGTGCAGTTTGACGTAGAAGACTGTAGAATACAGATCTTCACAGGTCTAAATTGGATCACATCAGGTTTCAAAGGTTCCCTTTGAATATGGCTCTCAGGGCTGTGTGTCGTACCCAGATAGATCTGAGCAGACTCTCTATAAGCTCAACATACGCCGATAACATAAACAAACAATTGGTTATTATCTGAGGAAAATTTGATTTGTGATTTTGGGAAATATAAAAATAAATTGAATTGAATTGAAGCCATTAAATTACCTCAAACCTAATTTGGCAATTTTGTACAGCGATTTGTTCTTGCTCGTCAGCCAATATACACTCAGAAACCGATGTTTTCAATAAGCTACTAGCAGCTGATATATCAGCCTGTCTAATGTATCTGTCTAGCTCTAATGTACTGATACTCTATTTGACTGCTTGTTAATTAATAGCAGGTCAAGCTGCAGCCCTGATTGGTGTTCTCTTTACATTCGTCCTCAGTTGCCAGAATAAATGTTATCATTGTACATTTCTGCAAACCACAGGAATTGAATACTTTGAATGTTGACTTTTCTAAACCAAAACAATGTTTCATAAACATGTTTCATATCAGCCTCGTAGCTCGCAGAAACGCACCTCGACAAATGAAACAATTGTTTGGTTTAGGCAACAAAAACCTTCAAAAAAGCATCATGGTTTGTGTTAAAATAATAGCGTATTACGTAGAATAACATAACGCAGCAGACTAAGCAACACAACAAGGTTAAAGTCAACACTTACATTTGGCCTCACATGGAACATGAACAGCGGTCTCCTGGGTGAAAGTCTTGTGTTTGTGTGTTCGTCCCATCGACCTCTACTCCCACCCACCCTACGTCAACTTAAATCCCATAATTTTAAATAGTAATCGCAAAATATACTACGTCACCTGCTTTGACCGAATGCAAAAACATTGACATTCAACGTATCTGTGTGTCGCAGAAACGTACAATGTCAACGTTTTTTCCTGGCCTCAGTTGTATTTTAGTTTGGGCCACTTTTTCTAAAAACGTATTTATGCTTGTCCACAGGTCTGAAAATGTCTGCTGTAGAAAAACTTACAATACATGATATTGTACAACAAAAAAAGAACACCATGCAACTTTTGAATTAAATGTTTAGGTTCAACAGCAATGTTTTTAAAGTTCTCACTTTGAACAAGGGTATGGTTGAGGTTAAGGAAATATTGTGGTTCTGGCAAATTAAGAATGGATAGGGTTAGGCATCTAAACGGCTGCATCCCGTGCAGAGCGCCAAGAAGATTGTGGTTGGTTAAAAAGAAACAATCCAGAGTGATTTTTTCCTTATAACAGAATGATAATGTGCGGACCCAGACCTTTCTGTAGCGCTGACACACAGTGAAGGCCTGGCTATGCGAGACTAGCTGGAACTCCCTGCTGGCAGTAACCTCCCCTCTGATAGGTGTAGAAACAAAGATTGCTCCTTAGCCATTAAAAACCACTGGATCAGGACACTGGAGGTTTCTGTTGCCACCCCAATTTGATGGAAAATAATGGATTATCACCTTTAAACACAGAAACCGGGATGTTTCTGCTGACTTAATGCTGATAGTAATAAAACACCAATTACAAAAACTAAATGATTCACATTTTCAAAGAAACACAATGGGTTTTTTTCTTTGTTCGTGAAATTTCTAGATAATTCACATAGTCTCCACCCATGTTATAATTCAAAAAATCTGCATACAATGCAATTACCTCAAGGTGATTCATAAGGAGATAAAAGGCAGGATTATAGATTCACAGAGGGGAGAATGAATGAGCAGTATTGAGCTGTAATCACCACAGATGGGTCATTATGAACATATGACGAATTAAAACCAATGTGTTTATATCCAGCACACATGATGAAACATGTGTTAGGAGGAAACATTGGTCCACACAGGTTTAAAAGGATGTATGACACTCCAATTATATAATCCTTTACTCTTTAATCTTAATTTGTAGCCTATAAGTAGTTTTCCTTGTGGTAAAAGGAATCAGCTCTCGAGGCACAACCTGTCCATTTTATTCCCTCTCGGCAGCATCCTAAAAGCAGCCAGCTGGTGTAGTAGTCTGTGACCATTTGTATATCCCTTTGTGCTCATCAGCAATCACCATAACCTACAGTCATTAGGCACGGAGAGCTGCAGGGCTGATATCAAAAGGATGAACTTCCATGATGTTTCCACCAGTTACACTTGTTCCTGTCGCTTGAGACACTCAGGCTGCTTGTTGGGGCAAAAACATACCGATAAACATGGTGTCTCTTTGTTCACAAAGTATTTAAATAATAATTATGTAGTCCAGACTGCATGCTTCCCCTTACAGGTGGCTCTCCAGCATTGCCCTCAGCTGGTCTTTAGAGCATCGTATTAACCTGGAAGTAAATAAAATCTCAGCAAACTTTGTCGGCTGTTGAATTATTTATTGCTGTTTAAAAAGCCATAGACTCTACCATCCCTGACACTGCACAGAGTTAGAAATATATTACAGTTTTTTGTTATTGCCAAGACACAAAAACTGGTACTTGTGGCACAGTTATTGAAACCATTACCTCATGGAGCCTATATATCTGGTATTGTTATCTTCACTTTCTCCTCCTTGTTTCCGTTTGGTGAGCTCGTACGAGTGAGCAACGTCACATTCAGCAAACTCTCTGAACTTCAGATAACTGAATGACCAGAGTTAACATGGTGAGTGACATGGGTGTGTAAATGAGCGCGTCCATAAGGACAGTGAATTAGCATCGCTAACAACCCAATAACACCATATAAGGCTACACGTCCTGCCCCTTGTGTCCTATGATGAAGTCCTGCTTTCAGAGATCCAGAGAGGAAAGTCTCTCTTTAACAGAATTAAGGGACCTGATGAAGACGAGGAATGAGGACAAATAATGATGTTAATGTTCAAGACCCGTCACCTGAGCGTCGTACTGTCACTGAAATAAAGAGCAAAGCCATCGATGACTGCAACGGGAGGTCAGATAACACAAGATGTTCATAACTATACTGTAGTGTTATACATTTACATCAATAGACAAGTTAAATTAATGGTGATATTGTTCGGCTATATTTTTGTTGCAAGATTTCTGGAAAATGAGGCATTATCTATTGCAAACTTTTACAAGTGCTGAGAAAAAACCCATGGCATCATGTGTTCATAGTCTATATTGTCATCACGCTACAGAGGCTTTGGATAGTAATGGTGTGTAATCAGTGTGCAGTCGGTATGTGAATACATTTATTTTGGATTTATTTGGTGTTTGTAAAAACACCATTTTGAAGACATCTTTTGTGTCTGTTCGCTTTTGCAAGAAATGCAGATTTTGTGTTTTTGATTTTGTCTGAATTTTTTTTTGTATGCAGTTTTGACAAAGAGGGCCCTCGTTTCAGAAATGGGCAATTTGAAAGAAAAAGAAAATCTGTAATATGTTGCAATTAGTGGTTGCCTTGTTCAGACCGAAAAGGATTGAATCCAAACAGGATCATCACAGGAAATTGTGCAGTTTCATTTGCAAAATGAAGCGATTTACTCTCCCTGAAGGGAAGATGGTGATAAAATCTGCATCAGGAGAGAGAGAGAGAGAGAGAGAGAGAGAGAGAGAGAGAGAGA